GTCGGCTGCGGGGGCGCGATCTTTGCACGCTGATATCTGGCGCGAGATAATTGCGGTGACCGAGGGCCTAGAGAGGCCCACCTTCACCTGGGTCCCCGCCCATAGGGAACTCGAGGACGTGATACATTTGTCTCAGCGCCACCTTGAAGATTGGTGTGGCAACTTGTGGGCTGATTTCTTTGCTCGTGTGGGGTCGTCCATGCATCGTGTGCCTGAGATGGCCGTTGCGGCCGAGCAAACCCACATTAAGAAATTGAAACGCACTTGGGATTATCTGTCCAGAGCTGTTCAGATTTTTGGGATTGCGGGACAGGTCATTGAGCCCCCACCCATGCCGCCAAAGCTTTACAGTTTAGGTAAGTCGGTCACGTTTGTACAGCACGATCTTTTGTTCAGCCCAGCCCGCCAGGAGTGGAGATGCCGTAACTGTAACGTGTCTGCCACCACAGAGTACACTCTTAAAGGGCTTCGAACTGGTGCCAGTAGGTTCTGCCAGCCCGATGAGATACAGGCGTGGCGAGCACGTGAGTTTTTCAGTCGGCACGAATCCAGCCCAGGCGACCCGTCTGTCCAGGTTGCCCTTGCTGCTGCGGATGCTGCCTTTCCTCCTGGGGGCTCTCCTGGAGGCGCGTTGTCTGACCAGCCGGCAGAGCTTTCATTAGAGCCTGAGTCAGCCGACCTTGGTTTGCCTCTTTCCTCTGCTGGGGCCCTGGGGCCTTCCTCTTCCTCTTCCTGCCCCAGACCAAGAGAGTCGGCTTCTGACGATGGCCTCGGTGTCTTTCGAAAGTTGCAGCATCGCCCGATCAGATACGGGCGAGTAATTATATGCCAGTCTTGTGCCTGCTCGCTCGTGCTCCCCGATGGCTTTTGTCGGGGACTCAGCAAGGAATGTCGAGGTGAGTCGCGAGTCAAGTCCACTCGCGCTGGGCACCTCAGGATGCTGGCGCTCGCTGCACGTGGCAAGCACCCCAGGACGGGTGCTACCTTGCCTCTTTTCCCCCCCCCGAGGCGCAGGCCTCCGCCCCTCCATCCGCCCCGAGCGACCTGTTGCAGCAGGTCCCCGCCGCCCCGAGCCTCGAGGAGGCGGCTTGCTTCTCTTGGGGGACGGCGGGGGTGGAGGCGGGAGGTGGGGATTCCGACAGCTCTGATTGAGCGCGCGTGGCCCTGGCCTTGTAACCCCTTAAGGCCCAGGGCTACGCTCTCCATATCGTTGGGCTCGGTGTCTTGATCGAGCCCACCTCTCTCTTTTTTATGCTCTGTGCTATCGTCTTCTCGACTGCACTGCTGCATGCTCGCCTCGCCTCTCCTCTTCTTCCTCCTCCTCCTCCCGCCTCCTCCCTCTTGCTCCTCCCCTCCTCATATTCTCGCCTCCTCCATCCTCCTCCTCCTCCTCCTCCTCCTCCTCCTCCTCCTCCTCCTACTCCTTTTCCCTCCTCCTCTGGCTCCCGACCCCTTCTTCCCCTCTTCTCTCCTCTGCCTCCTCCGTCCCATCGTCCCTCCTCCTCCTCCTCCTCGTGCTCCTCCTCGTGCTCCTCCTCCTCCTTATCCTCCTGCTCCTCCTGCTCCTCCTCCTGCTCCTCCTCCTCCTCCTCCTCATCATCATCATCATCCTCCTCCTCTCCTCCGCCTCCCCCTTCTTTCCTCGCTCCGTCCCCCCCCCAACCTGCTGTTCACCCTCCTCGCCCCCCCCCCTCGTTCTCCCCCGGCCTGGACAAGGTCACGGCCTTTAGCCCCTCACCGAGGTCGGCGTACTTGCTCACATCCTTGTTGTTCTGGCCTGCCGCGCAAGGGGCGCAGCCTCGTCGTCGTCGTCGTCGTCCTTCTCCTCCTCCTCCTCCTCCTCCTCCTCCTCCTCCTCCTCCTCATCCCCATTTTCTTGCTACAGCCATCAAGACACCAGGAGGAACGCTGAAGGCACGGAGCGGGTTTTCTGTCCACGACGAACCTCAACAACGAACGGGCTTCTGACCCAGATATCAGGAACGGCCGAAAACAATAGGCCCTTCTGAACCCAACGTGGCTCTATTTCTGGGAGTCTTGCGACCCCGGAGTCTATTTCTGGACCAACGTGGCCAGTGCGTCGTCTCCTCCTGCTCATACGACCCACTTCGGCGCAAAAATAACTGGTCCTGGTCGGCGACTCCGGAGGGTGTGGTTTGCACAAGGTTTGATTTGCAACCCGCGCCTGGAAGGGCGGGCGAGGATCTCGACAGAGATCTTTGCCGCGCCATGACAAGGGTGTATCAAACTTCTAGCGCAACGTGACCCTTGAACTCCGATGGCGCCGATCGCAAACCTCACCCCGGCTAGCCACACCAATTGTAGTCGCCGACCTGGCTCCCTGGGCTGTCCACCGGGACGACCAAGCTTCCGTCCTGAGCCGTTTGCGTTCAGGTCGGGCATGTCCTCCTACAGGCGGATTTGAGAGCAACCATCAGCAACAAGCCAAACCTGCTCCAACATGGCCAAAAATAGTCGAAGAACGCCCCCCAGCCTACTTTTGCACTACTCTCGGAGATCCCTCCTGTAGAGGTACACGCCCGACTTGCATTTACTGAAGGGGCCCTGAGACACACAAATAAATAGACACACATAACAGGTCTTCCTTTGTTCTCTCATATTTTCTGGGTTTTCGTATTTCCCCCCGCTTCCCATAGATTCCCATGTTTTCTCGGGAATCGACGATTAATTGTGTCTATGTTTTTCCTGTCCTGATTTACGGCCGACAGCGCCCTCGAGCCTCCGAAGGCGAGAGCGGCGGGCGGCCATCGACGCGCGCCCTGGCGGGAATGCTGGCTGTCCAGTCGGGAGCCCCCACAAAGCCCAGGCATGGGATCGCCGGGCCCCGCCCGACCGCCTGGGGGGGCCGCCAAAGCGACCCAACGCCGATCCAAGAAGTCCGCGCGGAGCTCCGTCTTTCTCGGGTGTTGCTAACCTAGAAGTACCCCTGGCCCACGGTGCCCCCAGGATGTCCAAGGAGGCCCCCACGGCCTCTAGAGTACCCCTCACGAGGCCCAGAGGGCCAAGGGCTCGAATGGGGCAACCCCCGACGTCCCTCGAACTGCCTCATCCTGCCCCCATGAATGCGGGCGCCTTGGGGCCGCGCGGGACCCTGGCGGAGATGCCGCGCGACCCTGGCGGAGATGCCGCGCGAGCCCAGGGGGCCAAGGGCCCCGGAAGCAACCCCCGACATCCCTCGAGCTGCCTCGTCCTGCCCCCGTGAAGGCGGGCGCCTTGGGGCCGCGCGGGGCCCTGGCGGAGCTGCCGTGCGGCCCGCTGCGCTCTCGCCGAGCCGAGGGTGGGGCGGGCGGGACGCGCTGCTCGGCCGAGGAGGGCCCTCCCCGGGGTGCCCTCGGCGAGGCGGCCGGAACTCCACGCACGGAGGCGCTCTGCAGCGGGGTGCAGAGCTGGAGGGCAAACGGGGGCAGCGAGCGCAGCCTTTTGATGGCGGTCGGCAGCCCAACTTCGCTGGGCAACGACAGCACTACCTTATTCAAGCTGGCGGCGTAGGGCGACAGAGGCCGCGCGCGCGGCCTGGAGGCCCCGAGCTCACTAGGTGCAGCGTCTGCCGCCCCTGCCCCGCGCCTTCCTCCCTACCTGCTCTCGTCGCCACAGGGCCCCTCTCGCACGTGTAGGAAAGTACTGGTCCGTCCAGGCCTCCTAGACGGCAAATGGTGCCTGTGAGGCTCTCCCCCGCTGCCTCAGCACCTCCTCGTCGATCCGATCGTCAATCCTCCCCTAATTTGCTTTTTGGGTGTGCTCGTGGGTTCTCGGCGGCCCTCAAGCCTTGGCATGCTTTGCAACCACTGCGCCACGCCGAGTGTTCCTGGGTACCCCGATCATCCTGAACGGCCGCCAAGGAGCCGAGTTATGGCCTGAAAACCAGAAGGCAACGACAGGGGGGGACTGGCCAGGCCTCCCAGATAGAGTCGGAGGACCGCGCCGCATCGCCGATGCATCTGCGATGCGCCTCGAGGTGGGGTCTCCACGCCGACGGCGCCGATGCATCACCCAAGTCGCGGCTGCATCGGTGATGCGGCGCGATCCTCCGACCCCATGCATTCGGACACCATCTGGGAGTCCTCCAGCAGGGCGAACCCAATCCCCGACTTTGAGGGCTTTTGTTCGACTGGGTTTGGGGCCCAACTCGGAGATTTGCTGCTGGGGAGGCGTCCATCCTCGACAACGGTGCGTCCGATTGAGATGCCCAATGGCGTATCACCTTCCCTTCTGAGCGGCCTAGCTTTGCTTGGGGACCTCGGGGATTGAGGGCGATGCATCGCCTGCGATATCGGCGGTGCCCCTCCTTTACGTTTTCCGTCTCGTGGGCTTCCTGGAAGACTCTCGTCGCCACTGCTGGATCCGCCTTGAAAAAACGGGTCGGGATGGACCTCGCGTACTTAAGGACCACATCCCGGAAATAATTTCGAGCACCCGGAAAAGTGTCGAGAGAGTGTCGAAACTGTGCCTCCCAGGGCCCGACACGAGAAAACCCTCGAGTTTGTGGGTGCTTTCCTGGCGCTCGAAATTCGCCCTTGTGATCAAGGATACAGTAGGTTGGAGCATCATAAGTGTGGGCACCTATGTTGAACGGAGTTGGGCCAGGCGGGAGAGTCGCCGGACCCGCTCTGCGGGGTAGCTCCCTGTTCGGCCCCTCGCTCCTCTGCACCTTGCTGGGTGTCGCTATCCCTGGCGACTGGGCGCAATGCTTCCTCCTCCTCCTCCTCCTCCTCCTCCTCCTCCTCCTCCTCCACCTCCTCCTTTTTTTTCGTTGCACGGACGTGGATCGGATTATCGTGGCGTCTTGTGCCCTCTTCCTCCTCTTCCTCCTCCTTCTCCTCCTCCGCCTCATCATCGTTCACCCCCCTCTTCTATGTCCGCCTTCCCCTCCACCTTCTCATCATTCACATCTCCCTATCCCTTCACCTCTTTCCCCTCGCCCCTGCTGCACCAGCCGCCGCCGCTGCCGCTGCCGCTGCCGCTGCCGCTGCCGCTGCTACTCATCGCCCAGACTGGGTGCCTCCCACGCCCGCGATCTGCTCGGTGTAGGAGTCCAGCCTCCGCTTCTCGACGTCCGCCAGCGCGGCCGTGTCCTTCTCTGGAGGAGGGATGCGGCGCGCACAAGGGGGACGGCAGAGAGGGCGGGCCTTCTCAGAAGGCTCAGAAGGCCTCCGGCCTGATGAGAAGCTTCCTAAGCCTTCTCTGGGGCCCCCTCGCTTTTGTGTCAGGCACTTCTGGGAAGATCCGCCTTCTTCTTCTGAGAAGACCTGTTCCCTCACACTTCCCCCATCGGAACGCCGGCGAAACGTGGTCACACACTGGAGATAGCTGGGAATAGGAGGGGGAGAGGAGGGGGGGAGGGGGGGCGATGCAACCCACGACCGCCACAAGATCCCTCCGGCATCTCTGGGATTGGCAGGGGTGCCGCGTGCGCATCTAATGCACATCAGAACCACCACTGCGGGAGACGGCGAATCCGATGCCGAGCTGCGCGCCGAAAAGGCTGGGCCTCGACGCGACAGGACGACACCCTGCAGCGCTGCATAGCCCCAGGGCGCGTCCCCACGGCCCCCGACGGGCGGAAGGACCCTGGGGGGTAAAGAGGAAGGAGGAAGGAGAGAACGGGTCGGATCCGATCGGATCGACTCAGCGGAAGGGAACGTCAGGAACCGCAGCGCAGTCTGGGGTCCCCATGCACGTGGGATCCGCAAGTTTGGATCATTTGTTTCAATAAACAAAAAATTTGCCATATTTTCATGCCACATTGCGAGACGATCGATAGGACGGGGGATCCATTTTTTTCACAAGGTCCTGCCAACATCAATCGGTCCAGTGTTTTCTACCTCTCGGAAGTCAGGGGAGGCCACGGGGTGATCAGGGACGAAAGGGGGAAGAGAAAGAATAGACAGGGTAGGAGGACTGGGAAAACTGCAATCTGTCTCTCTAATTCCCACCCGCTCTCCCCCCAAACGGAGGGGATACGTTCTGGGGGGACTGGCTCAAGGGAAACAATCTAGCTGAAATCCGTCGACCCAAAAATCCCCCCCATCGGCGATAGGCACCCGACAGCGAAATCGCACGCTCACGCGCGGGGTGGGTTGCCGGGCCCCTATCGACGATCAATGGGCGATTGAGGTTGGATGCGTCCTCCCCTGAGCCCACCCCCATCCTGAAATTGCCCCTGACTCTCCCTCCCACCCACCCGAGACCCCGCGCAGCCGGTTGCCGCCAACCGACGGACAATTACTGCAAGGCCAGTGCGGGCAGGGCGCCGGGGGCGTCGCGTTCGCGGGGTGCGGCGCGCGTGCCAGGCGCGCCAGTCGCACCAGGTGCACCAGGGGCTCCAAATGCTTACGAGCGCCAGCCGCGCCTGATGCGTCATGAACGCCAGGTGCGGCGCGCACTCTAAGCGCGCCAAGTGCGCCACGAATGAAAAGTGCGCGCCGATGCATGCGACAACAGACATCGGACAATACGTACGTCGACCAGCCGCCACACCGGTCAAACCCAATGCACTGTGCCAGCGGGGTGGCAAGAAATGCGTATGACGCGTGCGCCCGCGTTTACACTGCACTCGCTTTTGCTCTGATGCGCCAGTGGAAAAACCGATCCCACCCTTCACTATCCCTGTCAAAAACTCATGGCGTGTTAGCCAGCGTGAGCCCCGAACATTATGTCTTACAAAAAAAGGTGCTGCACACTAAATGTGGATCAACTTATGTTGTGCAAGCCACGTTGTGCAATCGATGGTGTGCAATCTATATTGTGCGCTCTACGTGGGCGGCCTATGTGGGGTAATCAAGGTGGAGCAAACAATGTGGTGCAGGACATAGTGTGCAACATATGTTGTGCAGGCTACGTTGTGCAGTTTTTCCATGTTGTGCAGTATAGGTGGAGCGATGGTGCAATGTAAACTGTTCAATCTACGTTGTGAACTATATGCGATGTGACCTATGAAACACGAAGGACGTTATGCAATACATGCGCAGCAATCGTTGAGGTGCAATCTATGTTGTGCAATCTGCGGTGTGCAATCTATGTTGTGCAACCTGCGTGGTGGAATCAACTACTGCTCACTGGTGCAATTTCTACTCCATTGCTTGCGCAATCATCCCACCCAGACGAGGCTTGCAAAACCAACGCGGCGACGACTGGCGCATCGCTTCGGCCGCGCTAGCGCGCGCAGGCTCGCGCGCAGAACGGCCAGATAGTCTGGTATGGCACGACCGACGCGGCCGCGGTGGCGCTGACCGCTGGGCACTTCCCAGATCGTCTCGCAAGCCGCGTTGACGCGCGGGCACTTCAATGCAACTCGGTGGCTTGGGCGGGCGCGGTATCATTGCGACGTCGACACCGGCAGACAAAATGACGATAGTCGTGATGCTGGTGCTGGTAGTGACGATGACGACGGCAATGCCAATGACGGCGCCTACGCTGATCACGCCGATGAAGATGATGGTGTCCACGTGTCGGTGGTGAAAGTTTTGGAATGAATTCTTCAAGCAAGCGCGCGGCCCACGCGCGCGGGTGGCCTGCATAGTAATGCTTGACAAGGACTCGACCCCCTAGCAAGCGCGCGACGGCGTTCGAATGATTTCGGCATGCGCGCGCGAGAAGCCCGTTTTGTCGGATTTGATGAACATGTCGAAAACCGTATGGCGTCCCCAAGAAGTAGCAAGACCGCACGCAGACTTGTTTGAAACATCAAGTTGCAACACAAGTGTGTTGGTTCATACGCGTTCGGGAAATTCATGCGTAAGTCCTGCCGACACCTATGGTGTTTCCCCACCAGTCCTGTATCGGGACGTCGTTTCGAACAAAGCACTGCGGTCGCGTCTCCTTCTCCTCCCCTCCAATCCCTCTGCCCCCTCCCGTTCTGCTCCCTAGGTGGCAAGGAGCTGCGCAACTGCCGCAACCGTGAGCTCCTTGGAGGCATGACAGAGTAGGGGAGTACGTGCATCCAGCCGAGACCTCCTGGGTCTCTGGGTGGCCCCGAACTGCGCAACTTTCGCCGCGTTCATGGGATTCTGCAGGGCACGGCGGAATGTGGCGGCACGCGCATCTAACCGAGACCTCGCGGCTCCGCTAGTGGCCGCGAACTGCGCAACTGTCGCCACTCTCGTCGGCTCCTAGGAGGCACGGCGGACTAGGGGAGCACGCGCATCCAGCCGAGACCTCTCGGCTCCCTGGGTGGCCGCGAACAGCGAATCTGTCGCGACATTCATGGTGGGAGGCAAGGCGAAGCAAGGGAGTCCGCGCATCCAGCCGAGACCTCGCGGCCCCCTAGGTGGATGCGAACTGCGCAACTGTCGCCACTTTTGTTGGCTCCTGGGAGGCACGGCGGGGTAGGGGAGTACACGCATCCAGCCGAGAGCTGCGAAAATCGCAACTGTCGCCACTTGTGCGGGCTCATGGGGACTTCGGCGGAGTAGGGGAGTACGCGCACCCAGCCGGGAACTTGCAGCTCTCTGGGTGGCTGCGAACTGCGCAATTCCATTCTTCCCTTCGGGCCATGGTTTACCCTTCCCCCTCCCCCCTCCCCCTGGGTCCGACGGGGAAGGGGCGGCGGGTCGTTAGAGCGGTAAAGATGGCCTCGGCGAGAAGGCCAACATCACTGATGTCACCAAGATTTTGAAAACATGTTGGCTTCCGGGCGGGGGCACGGCCCGTTCTTTGATCGATCTCCTCCAGGATGACCCCAAAATTGTCTCCGAGGCTCCCACGGGCGCCCCAACATGGCCAAGAGATGCTCAAGAGGTGTCGAGAAGCTCGGAGTGGTGCCCAGGAGGCTCTGGGATGCCCCAAGAGGCCCCAAAGATGCTCCCAAGAGGCTCCTCCTCCTCTTCCCCGTTCTCTTCCTCTTCCTCCTCCTCCTCCTCTTCCTCTTCCATTCCCTCTCCTTATAGACAATTCCTCCCTGTCGCACCCCGAGGCCAATTTTGAGGGCGGGCCGGGTGTTTCGCCTGAAACTGTCTCACCATTTATGACTCTGAAGCTTCAAAAGTGACAGCAGCTTCACATATGGAGTGCGTGTGGTTTTCAACCTGTGGCTCTCGCCTTAGCGCCGCGCATAGTCGTATTAAACATTTGCAAGGAGCTTCACGGATTGAGGGCGGGTGGTTTTCAAAATGCGGCTCTCGCCGCAGCGCCGCGCACATTTGTTTTAAACATTTGACAGAAGTATCATGGACTGAGGGCGGGTGGCTTTCGAAATGTGGCTCTCGCCTTAACGCCGCTCACATTCGTTTTCTAGAACTTGCAAGAGCTTCACGGGTTGAGGGCGGGTAGTTTTCAAAGTGTGGCTCTCTCCTCAACGCCGCGCACATTCGTTTCAAACATTTGCAAATGATTCACGGATTGAATGCGGCTCCTTTTCAAAATGTGGCTGTCGCCTCAGCGTCGCGCACATCCGTTTGTGGTTTTCGAAATGTGGTTTTCGCCTTAACGCAGCGCGCATTCGTTTCAAACATTTGCAGGAGGTTCACGGATTGAGGGCGAGTGGTTTTCAACATGTGGCTCCCGCTTAGCGCCACTCACATTGAAACAAAACAATTACAGGAGGTTCACGGATTCCCATACTCAACGTACCAAAAAATGTGTTTTGGAAGGGTTCAGGATCACGCAGGCGCAAGAGTTATGTTGATTCGTTGTGTCGAATGTCCAACAATGGCGTTATGGCACGACTCTGGGTCGTCAAGACGCTGCAAGCAGGTTGTACGTGGCGTTGAAAACCCGAGAACAATGTTAGAGAACGCTTCAGGGTCTTCACATCGTTGTCCTCCAACTTGGCAGTTCCCTCAATGGAAATGGCCCGTTGTAAGGGGCCTATGAAGAGGGAGCTTGGAGGGATGGTTACTTCCAACATCGTTGATGGCCCTTGGGTTTCCACTGGTCCTCCTCCTCCTCCTCCTCATCCTCTTCCTCCCCCCCCCATCCCCCTCATCCCCCCGCTCCCCCTTTTCCCTCCCCCTCCCCCTCCCCCTTACACTTTCCTTCCTGTGGCGTCCCTTTTTCTTCGTCCTCTTCCTTCCCCTCCTCCTCCTCTTCTTCCTCCTCCTCCTCCTCCTCATCCCCCTCCTATTCCTAATCCGCTGGTTCCTCCTCCTGCCTCCTTCATCATCCCTCTTCCCCGTCCCCTCTCTTCCTGCCTCCTCCTCCTCCTCCTCCTCCTCTTCCTCCCCCCCCTTCCTGCTCCTCCGGATCCTCCTCCGTGCTCTCTGCTTTTTGGCGCGACGTTTTCCCTTGTTAAGGCAACGCGTGTGAGCATCGTTTGTGGATGGGCCGATAGGGTTGCGCGAAGCGCCTGGACCTGTAGTTCGTCAGCGGGGAATCTGGAATCCCGGGGGGATCCCAATGTTTCAACTCCATTGCTCGCGCAACCATCCAACATCCAACCCACCAAACCACAATTTGGTTTGCAAAATCCATTTGGCAGAGATTGCGACGACTACTTGGCGGTGACTGGCACACCCCTGCGGCCGCGCTAGCGCGCGCAGGCTCGCGCGCAGAGCGGCCAGCTAGCTTGGCGCGACCGACGCGGCCGCGGTGGCGCTGACAGCTGGGCACTTCCCAGCGCGTCTCGCACGCCGCGTTGACGCGGGGGCATGTCAACGCGTGTCGGTGGTTCGAGCGGGCGCGGTATCATGGCGACGTTGACAACGGCAGACAAGATGATGATAGTGGCGATGCTGGCGACGATGATGGCAATGACGACGGCAACGCCAAGGACGGTGTCGATGCTGATCGCGCTGGTGGCGATGATAGATTCCACGTTCAGGGAGCACTAGACAGGGTAACGCCTAAACGGGGTAACAGACCGACCATGGGATCCAAGTGGAAAAACTGCAACGACCTGAACAAACAATGCATTGCATTTTTCGGCAACGCAACAAAAAAAAACTGCACTGCAATTTGTTGGCAACTAGACGCGGAAAAAACTGCAAACAAGACCCACAGACCGGGTAACAGAGGGTCCAAAAATCGCAGTGCAGCAGCCGAACATGTGCAACGCAGCCAGCATGTGGAAGGTGCTGCATCGAACGCGAAAGCAAAACAAAAAACTGCACTGCAACGAAAGGGCCATTTTATGCCTCGAACAAACAGTTTCCTGTTACCCCGTCTGCTGTTACCCCGTCTCTGGCTCCCTGACATGTGTCGGCGAGGAAGGCTCCGGAAAGAGTTCGACTCGCGCGCGCGGGCGACGCGCGCGAGTAGCCAACATGGTGTTATTTGACAAGGGTCGCGCTCCCACCCCACCAGCGCGCGCAGGGGCGTTCGAATAATTTCGGCATGTGCGCTTTCGACATGCTCTCGCGAGGCCCTAATGTCGCATTTGATGACGATATTGAATACAGCTCCTTTAAACGAAAATTGCGAGAGGGCGCGAGCAGTTTGTTTGGCTTTAACATGTCACGCTGCGAAACAACGATTTTGTTACACCGATGTTTTCGGGACGCTCGATTCTGAAACCCGTACGGTACCTCAGGCGTTTGAAGGACTTCGGCATGCGCGCGCGACGACGCGCGCGTGACAAATTTGTCGTCTTTGATGCAAGGGAATCCTGGCATCTGGTAATTTTGACAAACGAATGCGCACACCTAGTATCAATCGACCAAGATGAGTGGAGCGGTTTGGCAAGGATGTTACGATGTTTTATTGAGGATGAAGGATGCAAAAGAAACCACATGTACATTGCAATGCGCGGGGCAAGCTGGGTAATTTGGGCGGGGGGAACCCTTATTATTTTTTCCGAAACGCACATGTGCTGCGCAATCTATGTTGTGAAACTAATCGGCGATGGCGGCACCACACGCGGTGACCGACAAACAAGCCAAAAAGACGGGCGGCGACAAGGCAGCGACGGCGGCAACACGCGCAGCCACCGACAGACAAGCCCAGACGACGTGCGGCGACGAGGCGGCGATGGGGTGGCGACGCCGGCAACATAGCCGCCAGAGCGACAGACAGGCCGAGTTCCTTCGAGCAGGAGTAAGGAACCCGAAAAGCAAATACTGTTCGGGGAATATGACGATCGGTGCCCGACCACGCTCCCGCACGTGACACCAATGTTAATTGCAGCACGGACTGTGCACTGACATCAGAAACAATCATGTTGGAGGAGTCTACAATCATGTTTCGGGGGCGCGAAGGGCGGCGAGGCGTGGACGACGACGACGGTGGCGGCGACTCCAACGACGGCGACGGCGACGACGACAACGACGATGACCACGATGGCGGCGGCGGTCCGGCAGCACCGCCGGGCACAATGCCCCCGCAAGGGCGGCGACGAGCTGCGGGCGCCGGCGGCCCTGGGGAGCCTCGCTGGCGCACGGCGCGCGCGAGGCGACGTGGAATACCCCAGCAACATCTCGACTTTGGCGGCGTGACGATCCCCTTCCGTTGGGCCCTTTCTTTTGATGACGGCAGGCCGCAAGGTAGTCTCGAACGAAGGGCCAAACAAGCCGCCCAACCGGTACGCCCGAGAGCGCTCAAAAAATACAACAACTAGTTACATGAACACCAGCTACTCGAATCACGCACGGATTTCTAGGGTCGGCGATGAAACCCGCTCCCCGCACCCCTGACGGTTCTTCCAGCGCTGACCCCAGTGCGCGCCGGCAAATGGGTGGCCGACGCCGACACAAGAAATCCAGGATGACCCCAAAGCAACTGAGTTGACGTACTAGCTCTGCTGTCTTCGTGACATAGGAAAGCAGGATCATGAGGACTGCGGCTCGGCCGTGTTCCTGCAAAGGTCGGCTGGATGTTGGGGCTCGCTTCGGAGTGAGCGCAGAGCAGGAGGGGAAGGACGACGACGACGACTACCACGCCACGGCGAGGGTGGCGGCGACATCCACCCCAATACGGCTACGACGACCGCCACAGGAGCAGCAGCGACGGCGATGACGACGACCACCACCACCAACACGACGCCTATGACGACGACGATGACAGCGCCAACGCCGACGTCGACGACCATTACCGCAGCCACGACCACAACGACGACCCCCAACAGCACCGCTGCCACTGATCCAATCAATCGTAACACAGGCCTCCGGCGGCCATTCGGGACGACGTCGGCACCCCTGGCAAGACACAGCCGCCAAAACGTGTCCCGAGACGAACCGACGAGAACGCCCCCCAAAACCAAGAACCTCTGGCGACGACGACGGCGGCGACGCCCACAGCGCCGACGGTGGCGACCACGACCTCGCCGAGGGGACTCCGGCTCGCGGGCGGCCGCCTGGCCGCCCGAACACTCGCGCGCCGCGGGGGCGGGCAGCGGCCGCGCGGCCGCGAGCAGCGGCGGGGGAGCCGCGGGCCCCCCCCCGCGCGGGGGGCCGTCGGGCGCTGCTGGGCGGGCGCCAAGCCAAGGAATCCACGCTGAGCTCGGAAGGTGTATAGTCAAAACGCGTATGAAGCACGGGCGGTAAGGACGCAAGGCCCTTGGGGGCCGAAGCTGGGATTCTTGCGGGGGGGGGGGGGCGGGCGACCAGTGAAAATGGCACAGGACGGGCCGCAGAGGCAAGGACACGAGGGCATCCTAGATGAAGGCTCGCGTCCTTACTAGGCGCGCTGACTGTAGTCACTACGCCGTGCTGGGACTTCCAGACAACGCCCCAACGCTGGATCCCCAACCGCGTCGTTGGAGGCACGGAAGTGATCGGCGCAGACGGAGCCGACGATGCCCTGCGCTTGGTGTGTCCATGCCTGCGACATCGCCATCGCTTCGACGCCTAGACATCGGCCCTTAGGGGCCATTTCTGGGCCCAGGAGACATCAAAAGATAATCGGGGGCGAAGAACAGTCCAATTGGAAGGAGTGAGTGGTTCCTGGGACACAGAATTTGTTTAAAACTACCACGTCACAAATCTGGTTACGCAGGCCGCTGCAATGTTCAGCACAACCGTCCTGACGGGACCCTCTGGACACACAGTTTGACACGCGTGCTGAAAAGGCACGGGCCTGCGAGAGCCAAACGAATGAGCCTCCCCCTTGCGTCTCTTCCTCCTGCTGCTCCCTCAACATCCTGCATCTTCTCTTTCCCGCGCATCGCTTCTCCCTTGTCTGTCCTTCATAGTCCCAACAACCTCCGCCTCCTTGCCCTCCCCCCTCCTTCATTGTGCTGTTCCTCCACATGCCCCTCCTGCACCAGGCTCCTCATCCTGCTGAGTTGCCACTGTCTGTCCTACTCGTGCTCTTCACCACCTGCATCGCCTACTCCTCATCATCTCCCTCTCCCTCGCATTCCTCTTCTTCCTGTTCCATCTCACCCCCCTACCTCCCTCCTCCCCCCTTGTCGTCGGCCACCCCTCATCCTCACCCCTCTCCTTCCGCCTCGTCGTTGTCTTCCTCCGTCTCTTCCTCCTCCTGGACCCCCTGCTGCCTACCCCCTCGTACTGCTCATTTCTGTCCTCCATCCTCTGCTCCTCGTCCCTCCTCGTTCATCCTCGCCCCGACGCCTCGTCCCTCCATCCTTTCCCGTGCCTCCTAGTCATTCCCCGTCCCTCCCCTTCCTCCTCCTCCGTCCTCGACTCGACCCCGCCCTTACCCGAAACCAAATCAGACCAAACGCCAATCTCCGCTGGGGGGGGCGCCAAGGTGGAGCTGGGACAGAGATGGGACTTGCATAAAATCGCTCTGGGCGGTCCCTGGAGGGAAATATCAGTCGCCTCAAGCTGGGCTCGCCCCTTAACTTGGAGGCCATCAAAAACGGGGTCCAGATAAATGGAATCGGAGAATCGTGCAGCATCGCCGCCGATGCATTGCCGATGCATTGGCGACATCGGTGACGCATCGGCAACATCGGCGTACAGGAATCAAGCCACATCGCCGATGAGTGAGCGATACCCAATCTACCTCCACCCCATCTGAGCGGCCCAGATAAACCCGTCTTGGGCTGAACTTCCCTCTACAGTAGGTTCGTGTCGTGACGACCTGTGCGCTGGTTTCTGACTCCGCATGGATCGTTCAACCTTGAACGATCAGCGGCTCTTCGATTGCCAGATCGTTCCATATTCGCCGGTTCTCGGCAATTGCTGGCGTCCAACCTTGAGCGGCCACGCTGGGGTCGCCCTCGCGCCATCACGACACGAACCTACAGCACGCACCTCCGATCCTCCCCCCCCCCCTGGGGGCGGCGGCGATGGCGGGCGCCGGCCCGGCGAACAGCCCCCGCACCAGGCGAGCCCGCAGAGCGCGGCCGCCGCGGCGGCCGCCACCGCGCGGGGGCCCGCCTGTGGAGCGCGCGCGCGCTTCTGGCAGCTCGGCGATGGCGGCAACGACGACGGCGGCAATGGACGGCGATTGACGACCAGGCGAGGCATGCTCACAGTCTGTCTCCTACTGCCCCTCCCCGAAGGAGGGGGGATGGACTGCCTCCTCCTCCTCCTCCTCCTCGCCCCTCCTTTCCAGGGCAGAGGGGGATGCAAGGGGAACAGAAGAACAGAAGCGGGGGGGGGGGGAGAACAGGGGAAGGGCAAGACGGAACGGTGGATGTTACGGGGATGTGAACGGCCCACCAACACATTTCGCAGATTGGATCGCTCCCTGGACTCAGCAGCTCTTCAGCGTCAAGGGCGCAGTCTTTGCACCAGGCGGCTCACAAAAACCACCAGTCGCGGTGCAAAATGATACATCAGGAGGGTGTGCACCCCAAACATGCGCCGAAGAGGAAGCGAGGCAGGAGAGACGAGATAGGGGAGGGAAAGGAAGGCGGAAGGCGGCGAAGTGAACGGTATGGGGGATAGGAGGGATAAAGAAGGAAAACAGGAAGAGCGGCGAGAAGGTGAAGGCAGGCATGGCAAGGTGCGCAGCAGGCTCGGGAAGAGATGGGCGGAGGGTGGATTTGCAGTGGACAAGGGCAGAGGGAGAGGGGGATCTTCATGCACCGTCTTTTTCTCCCCCCCTGATCATCCTCCACGTCCTCCTCCATACCTCCTCCTTGAACAATAAGTCTTTGCGTCTATCCTTCTTCTCCTCCTCCTCCTCCTCCTCCCAACCCTCCCGCCTCCCTCTATCCCCCCTCCCCTTCCCCCTCACTTTCCCAAGAAAGAAACGGGTCCTGAAGGAAACGGTCCTGGACACGGGGACCTTCCCCGGAGATGACCAACTCTCCATCATGAATCGCTTTCACCGTCTCGGAAGCCCGAAAACAGCGGAAAGCCTCAGGACGCGTTTCCCTCAGGACACGTTTGCTTCATTGCGGCTCCTTCCTTCCCGCTCCTCCTCCTACGCCTCTGTGCTCCGCCCTCCTCCCCCTCCGCTCTAGACTTCATCATCCTCATTGCTGACTTCCGCGCGACGACGGCGATGGAATCGATGACGACGACAAAGACGCCGACGGCGACGTCGACGACAACGAGCGGCGGCGACGAGGCTGACAGAACAGAAAGGTATCAATAAGGCTGCTCCCCAGACCTCTCCCAAGATGCGTTCTGACCAAAATCTCAAGGCGAATCCAGCCGTGGCGCCGTGGGCCTCACAGAAGGCCCAAGAAAACGAAAACGAGGGAGGGGTGGTGGCATCGTTGCCTTATCAGAACTCCCACGTCGTCATGTTTACAATGGGGACCCCCGGCCTCGGACATGGATTTCCATGCTGAATTGTTTTCTGTCAGTCCCAAGGCCCAGCAGGGGCCCCCCTGGAGGCCGAGAGTTGTTCATAACCTCCCAGCGTGACTTTTTTCGCAGCGAGTGGGGCACTCTGTTCGCCGAGGCGTGGGCCCGCTGCGAAGCGCCGCAAGGCGCGGACGCGCACCCGTAGCGCCGCGAAAGGCCCCGCAGCGACTCCACCGGCAGGCGCGCCCGCCCCAGCGGCGACTCGCTGCCGCTGGCGATTTGAACCTGGAGCGCGGGGCCACTCGGGTCGGACGCCGGGGGCGGGTGCAAGGCAGAGCGAGGCGGAGGTTTATCCATCACCACCGCCTGGGGCATCCATCTTGGGAGGCCCTGGCGGGCGGTAGATGCGGACACATCTCCCCCAACATATACAGATAGATGTGTGTATATTCACCTGTAGATGCACATTTGTGTGTGCGTCTGTACATACACGTATACCCACATACATATACATGTGTGTATATATGTACCCACACACACATATATATATATGTATATATATATATGTATCCGTATATATATATATGTATCTTTACACAAATACACAAAACAAGAAACCTCTGCAACCATGTTTTTTGGAACGGCCCGCGGGCTTTTGTTTTGAGCCGTCGACTCGGAACCCCACATGACAGCCCTCAAGCAGATTGTCAGGGCCGTTGTTTGGTTTTCCGTTGGTGCTGCGGTGCCGAGCAGAAGGAAAAACGCAAGGATAACCAAAAAACCCGAGAAACATTTCTCGGGGAGGTTTTGGGGGAGTCTCCCAGGGACGGCTTCTTTGTGTTTTGGGTTTTCCCTTGGTTGTGTTTGTCCTGAGCTGAAGACAACAGCAAAACATAATGTCGTGTTCGGCTCCGAGCGGAACAACGAGAGATATATGTTTGTGTTGTTTCCGAGCTGGACCACCCCACTAAAACATGCGAAGAACAACAACACACATAATACACATATCCCTGGGGTGCAGTTGTTTGGGAAGACTCCTGCAGGGATTGTTTGTTTGGATTGTGTCGTTGTCGTTGGGTGTTTCTTGGTTACGAGCTGAAGAGCGGAGTCACATCATGATGCTGTTGGTTCCAAGCCGAAGACCCCCCAAAAACAACAACAAACAACTATGCATCTTTGGCTCCGAGCTGAAAAGCAAAAAGAACACAGGACCACCACCAAAAAAACAAAGCAATCCCTGGGATGGCGTTGGGGGAAGAGCCCTTCAGGGGTTGGTGTTGTGTTTGTCTGGAGTCCTTAGGCTACTTTTTGGGAGAAGGTGCACAGGAGGAAGACCAGGGGGAACAAGATGAGGATTGAATTCACATTTGCGGGCATTCTGGCTCAGAGAAAGGTGCCAAGTAATTGGGTTCGTTTTGATATCGGCTTCATCTGTGCACACTTCAGACTTACTACGGTAATTCCAGATGCAGTGGGAATGTCATGTCGATTGGGGGTAGTTCTGCTTCACTGGTCCACGGCGGAAAAAAAACAATGGATGCAGCAAATAACGCTCGGCACTCTTGCAAACAACGTTTGAGGAATTATTCAGCTTGGTATCCTTTTCACGTGCTTCGACAGATGCCTGACAAGATTCAAGACGCCAGGTGTCAGCAAGCAGCTGACGCCTGGGTTGCTTCATGGGATGGAAGAAATGTGCGAGGTAATCGGGAAACGAATCTAAATCCATACAGCAATTAAGTCTGGCACCTCTTTGAGCATGATTTCAAATCGGCAACTCGGTTCAACAAGCACAGAGGGAGACAGAACACCGCGAGCCCCTACCGTTTTTCAAAAAAGAGAGTCACAATGCGAGGTATGCTTGATACGCTTCATAAACATGTATGATCCAAACGTGCTGCGGAAATTCGTGGAGAGCTAACATCTACCTCGTGGCGCGTATCCAGGTAAACTCTTTTTGTGTATTCTAATGTGAGCAAATGGCAGATCGAAGTCTGTAGCTACATTACGTGAGGACGGTCGAAATAAATTGTTGTAAGGTGATGGGTTTGGGAAAAACATTGAAGAACGTGAGTGCCAGACTGCGAATGGCTGAGGGCAATACAAACGAAGTCCGCAAGACACGTGCATTAAACAACGCCAATATTGGAAACCATACAGACTGGATCATTTATCTGATGGAAAAACAACAACACTTCTTCGGCACGTTTGTATTCACTCATCGGCAAATTGGCCAACCATGCCAGTTCAGGGGCTAGATCTTTTAGAGCAGAGAGCATATTAGCGTACATGTATGATTCAGACGGCGAATACATGCACATTCCTGATCGAAAATGCTTGATTAGCTGAGGCCAAACGTCAACGAAGTGCACCTGCACCGAACGCGTGCGTGTTGGCTCTTTCTCTCGGAAATCTGCTCATAACTGTGAAGCAATCGCTTCCTGATCTTGACCCCGTGGTTTTCGAAATTTCGAGCTGCAAAGTCAATGACATGGTTCACGTGAGCAGTTTGCACAGAGAGCCCACCCTAGTTTTTCCAGGTCGATTCTCCAAGCGCTGGATGAAGGAGGGGATGTGTCCACTCAACCAAAGCATCGTCACATCACGAGTAAGAGAAAACCAGATGACCGTTGACAACAGCTCTCGGCAACAGTGCAATATAAAGCAAACCCGACTGAAACTGCGAAGAGGTACCACATAACTCAAAAAGAAGAAACCTGAATGATTTTGAATGTGTGTTGATCCCCTGTTTGTCTAATTTCTTTTTGAGACCAGCAACGCAAAAACCAACAAGTTTCGCACAAGTCGCGCAAGTGTGCGATACACACCGAATCCTAATGCAACGGCTCCAAGATAAAACATCAGAAAACGATCTCACTTTCTCGATTATTGCGTTTTGTCACTGCGGCCTACCCATTTCTGCTTGAGAACAAGCGGACCGCAAAAATAACGCTTCGTAAAGGTCGCGCCAGGCTGCACCGGCGAAAATAGAACATCTCAGAAAACACGATCACATTCTGGATGTACGTGTTGCTGCTGGAATATTTTTGGTTGGGGAACATGCAAACCAAAGAAACGCTGCGTTCCGCTGTAATCTTGCCGGTGTCGTCTATCTATATATCTATCTATCTATCTATCTATATATATCTCTATATATAGTGGCATGAAACATTAATGAAACTATGAACGCCTAAAAACTCAGAACATAATTCGCCGGCCCAACGGGCCAGAGGCGTGCTCAGATCTCCGGTAACTGGTTAACAATACTTCTAGTTCGCGCGCGCGGGGCGGCCCCTAGGGTTCCCCCGGCGAAAAAATATCCCGACCGCAGCCTGACCAAGTCTACCCAGAGATGGTTTTGAGGCCCATTTTTCGACACTCCTCACGAGGATCGTGGCCTCCGAGGGGGGTGCACTCTACTACCCCGCCCCAAGAGGCCTCCAAGAAACCCCCAAGAGGCCCAAGGGGGCCCAAGGGGGCCCCAAGACGCCGCCAAGGAGCCCCAAGAGACCCCCAAGAGGCCCCTAGGAGGCCCCAAAGAGGCCCCCAAGAGGGTTCAAAGAGGCCCCATAGAGCGCTCGAGGGCCGGCGGAATGAGCAAAGCGATTAAATTACACTTTCTGGCTGCTTGGTGCTTTTGCTGCACAACGAGTTGCTTATTTTGCGCAAAGGCATACACACCGCAAACCATAATCAATCCGCAGTAGCCGCGCCAATCTTCAACCTGTAGCAAACATGAATGCACTAGCGGAAAGCCGATCCCGAAAACAGATTACGATGTGGATGTGAACGATCTTGCTGAAGCCATTGGTTTGTCTTCACGGGAAACTTATGAAACATTAGAAACGCACTGTGATTTTGTTTGTGCATCGGTGAGACGTCACGTTTTGACAATAAACGGTCGCCAAAAACAAGGCCGCACAATTTTCCCCTCCCCTGAAGTGCATCTGTGTACCTGTGTGTACATATTCAGATCCATATCCATATCTGCTGCCTGCCGAGATCCTCGAAAACCGATCCCCCTACGCGGTGTGTCTGGATACATCCCCACCTCCATCGAGCTATCAAAAGGCACGCCAGGTTGAGAGACGAAGGGGCTCTGCTTGCCGCGATGCGCCTCGGCCCCGAGATGCTCCCCGGATCGCTGAGGAGGAACGTGCGGGGGGAGCCTGCTCAAGGGGGGTCAGCATCGACCCGGAATCAGCGACGCATCGCCGACACAACCGGCGAGAGGGCCCCCAACAGCAACATCTGCACGCCCCCTGGGAGGGGCGGGAGGCCCAGGCCCAGGCCCCAGTCGGTGATGAAGGGCCGATTGGGGGTCAATGCGCCCCACCCCCCCCAAGGTCAGGCTCGTGACACTGGTGACTGACACCGCGGGAGGCGTTCAATCTTGAACGATCGGTCGTTCCGAAACGTCCAAATCGTTCCACATCGTACGATTCTGGGTCGCGCGCGGCGTTCAACGTTGAACGCCCCTAGTGGTGTCGCCGCTGGTCGACACGACACGAACCTACCGTACCGTTGCCACGGAATGCGGTGGAGCTGCTGCGCTAAGGACCGCCGAGTGCAGAACGAGGCCTTCCCGATTCGGCCCAAGGAGCGCCAAAGTACACGAGGGGCGCCAGAAAAGCAACCGTGGAGGGGCCTAGGGAACAGCGAACCCCTCGCGAATCTAAACTCTTCCTCATTGCGGCGTCTTGGCCGTGATCGAAGGGGGAATAGCGAAGTAGCAAACGTGACTGGTATTCCACCTCTGGGAGAGGCAGCCTGGGCCTCCAGGGAAGTCCTGGGGACCCTTTGGGCCAGGGAACCTGAGCGGGGTGAGAACATTGAATCGCCAGGATCTTCAGGACTCACGAGCGACGAACACATCCACATCCATGCCCTCGCGTTCTGGGTCTCAGGGCGTGATCCCATGGAGACGCGAGCCCATGGATACATTCCGCCGCGCGGGGGATCCGCGCAACGCCGCCACGTATCCATGGGGGCGCAGCCGAGGCGCCTGGCCCTCGAGGCCGTGGGTATGGGTACGACTTCCGCCCGGGGATCTCGACCGCTTCCCCAGGACCAACCTTTCATCCTCGAATCGTTCTTGGACGACCCTGGGGCTGGGGAGCGGCCTCCAGTTGCCGAACACTGCCAGGCCTCCACTATTCTTTCGGCGTCGCTTGAGTCTGAGGGCTGAAGGGCCCATGGATACAGGACATACATTCCGCGCGGAACACCCGCGCAAAGCCGCCCCGTATCCAAGGAGCCCGACCCGCGAGACCGTGGAAATAATATGTCTTCCACCCACGAAGGACTGAGGGTCAAAGGGTGGACGGGTTGAAGGGGGGGAAACAGTGAGCTGGAATCGGAGGCACACCGCCGATTTATCGGCGGGAGGACCCCGACAGCGAGACCGCCCGTTCCTGGGCGGGGAGTGCTATCGGGCCCCTCTCGGCGAGGAATGGGCGATTGGGGGTGGATGCCCCCCCCCCCCTGATGAGCATCGTTTATCTGACCCCCATCCCCAGCGGCGTGGCCCGGGCTCCACTGGCCGATTTACCCCCCTAGGTGGGGATATAGGCCGTTCCCTTCGGGTTTCGAGGGGTGTATCCCCAACTGAGGTGGTAATTTGATGGGGGCCTCGAAGGGGATGAGGATGGGATGGGGGTCGGTTAAACGATATTGACCTGAGCCTCGCCAAATGTTGGCCCCCTGCGATCCGAGCCCCCCTAGAAAGCTCTCGGCGAAGAACGGCAGCAGGAAGACATCCGGAAGCTGGAGGATCGCCAGGAACACACGAAACGCTGAAAACCTCGACTGCGACCACAAGAAACCTTCCACGAGAAACCCAACCCTGGGACCCCAGGACGTCCGTGGACTTTTGGCGTGGGAGCGACACGCTTTCCATGGCAAAACCATCGAATCCCAAGAAACCCAGGGCACCCTGGAGGCAAGCAGGGTGTTTCTTGGCATGGGCCTCCTCTTGGGCGCCCGAATTATCCGGGGTAACTCGGGCCCGGGGTAACTCGGGTTCGGATTCCCGAAAAATGAACCAGAGTTAACCTTGACCCAAGTTACCCCTGATGATTCGGGGCTCTGATCCACTGTATCCCGCCCCCAACGTTGCCCCCTGATCTTCGCGTCAAAACTCGGCTCCGCGGCGGCCGACATCGAGACGATTCGGGCACCCAAGGAGCGCCCTCGACGAGGCGCAGCTGATGGAAACCGCCCCCAGGTCTCGCCAACCCTCGAAAACCGCCGAACACCTCCTCGTCGTTCGTATGTCGTCGTCGCCGTCGTCCCTGGCGTTGCCCCTGTCGTTCGTCATCGTCGCCCCCGGCCTGGAGCTCCTCGAGCAGCAGCGTGCGTACCGCCGGTGCCACCACGGCCTCGCCGCCAGGGCTGTGCAGGCCGCGGCCAGTGACGACGTCCAGGCCACCAGTGCGCGGCGCGACGCACAGCGCGTCGGCCTTCCGGGGGAAGGCCTGTTTAACAAACTAAAGGCCTCCTAGATAGGGTCCGAACAGATGGGGTCGGAGGATCGAGCCGCATCGCCGATGCATCGACGATGCATCGGCGAGGTATCAGCGATGCATCGGCGATGCATCGGCGCCGTCATGGTGGAGAGAATCAGGGTGCACATCGAGCCGCATCAACGATGTATCGGCGATGCTGCGCGACCTTCCGACCCAATCTACTCGGACTCCATTTGGGAAGCCTAGTGAAGTTCCAGGACCGTTGAGCAACCGCAGCTTGATTATGGAGGTCGAGGTGGCTCGTCCTCCCTTGCCTAAAGGGGGGACAAACACGCTTTCGATCTTATACCTCGGTCCGTCTATAACAAGGATTGCGAATCCACGGGGCTGGCTCGTGGGTGTCGGATCCACGGCTCGGGAAACGACCTCCCCCCGATACGTGGGGCCGGTGCCGCCCGATTCGGCGACGGAGCGCGCCGACTCGGTACGGAATCGGGACCCGTCGCTAATCCTCGCGTCTGAGTCCATCTTTGCGCTCCCTCGAGTCCTTACCATCGCTCCGACGCCCTTTTCCCCGTGCGTGTTTTCGGCTTCGTGCGTGTGAGTGTGTTTTTCCCTCGCAAGATGATCCAAGATGCTCCTCGAAGGCCCTCGCGGAGAAAAAACAGATGCACACGTCCGAGCGATGCCCAGAGCCCTGGCCCCTATCTCGAGACGCGCCCGCCGCTCTGCCACGAGGCTCTGATCCTGGGGGTGCCTCGCCGCCGTGTCGAGGCGGCCCGACGCCTGCAGAGATCTGTGGGAGGGCGCCACCTATACACCTGCACCGATCTCAGCCATGCCCATCCTGGGCGCAGGATCGGTGCACACGCCCTCTGGATAAAAAAAAAAACATACACACACGAGCGCACACCCACACACGAAAGCACACACACAAACATCTCCCACACATCTCTTATATAAACACACACACACGCGCAACCACATAACAACACAAACGATGTGTGTGTGTGTCGTTTGTGTGTGTAGGCGTATGTGACTGGCTCAACCGCACGCCCCCTCCTCCCGACACCCCCCCCTCTCACCTCTCTCCTCTGGTTCAGGCCTCTCTGCCGATCGTATCTTCCGCAATTGCAATCGGCTCGAGGAGACAGCCAGGCTCCAACGCTTGCAGCAGCGCGGGGCGGGCGGCAATCGGATCAACTAAGGTGCGCTCGCGGGCACGCAGAGGACCGCCCTCGCGCACCCTGATCCGGGTCCTGGCATGTCCGAGGCCTCCAAATGGCGGGCTGTTCGTCGCTATCCTCGTTTCGCACAACCCTTCCGCCCTCTTCCTTTCTGCCGATCCAGACGACCCCGCTGGGCCTCCCAGAATTGCCCTTGACCTCCTCACTGCGCCTCGGGCTAGGTCCGTCTGCATATATGAGCCCTGGGAGACTAGGCACACCTGGAACTGGTTTTCTGCGAGGCCTGCGGTCGGCAGTGGAACTACGGCCATGAACCATGAAGCTGCCAAACATCACCTGAAGAAACTGTGCAAGCCCCCGTCCCTCACGGTGAAGGCCTTTTCGAAGGGTCTGGGACGAATCCGCTCCCGTCTGCAACGCCCCCGAAGCGCGGCTGGCCACTGACAAAGTTTTCCCCCCGACCCCTTTGCCTGGCACGTCCCCTTCGGCTGTTCTGCCTACGAGGCTGGCCCCGAGTGGCTCCGCCCCGTGCGTTCGTGGTCAATGTCAATCCGCGCTTCCTCCCATATTGAAGCCAGCACTGTGGCTGGTCGCTGGCCGCCGCCGCCCGTGCCCCGCTCCCCCTGCCCTTCCTGCGGGGCGCACCGGGCCCGTCTTCGGCCCTCCCCCACCGTGCCCGTGCCTGCCCATGCATGCCCCCCCCTTCCGGGACCGCTCCCGGGGCCTCCGCGCCTTCCTCGCCGCCTCTGTCTGACCACCCTGTCCTGCATGCCCCCCCCCTTCTGCGGGGATACGTCCAGTGCGGCTGCCCCGGCGGCGTCTCCTGCTCTTTTCGTCCTGCCTCCGCCGCCTGCTCTCCCACCCACTCGGCCCGCCCGCGGTGGCCCCTCTGTCCCCCCACCCGTGCCCCCCACTCCCAGGTCACAGCCCGCGGCGGCCAGCGGCGCCGCCTGCTCCAGTAGCTCCACTGATGTATGACCCACGGCACCGGCTTCGGACCCTCTTTGCTTCGCCGCCTGGCCACTGATGCCCGGGCATGGCTTGGTGGGCTGTCCACTTGCGAGCGCCGCTCAGGGCGCGTTTACACTGTGGGGCAGGTCTCCTCGGTCATCCAGCCCCCCAATGTTGAAAGCGGGACCTTCGGGAATACTGCAATTCCTTGTTGCGAATATGACATCGCTGTAGTTTCCATTGGGCCCCCCTTTGCCCTCCTGGTGTGCTTTTCTCTTGCCACTTGGCTAACTGCCTACCTCGTCGCCCCCCATTCATCCATGCCCAGATTATCTATGGCTGACCGCGGCGGTGCTCACTTTGAGCGGCTTGAGGGTTCGGCCGATAGAAGCGCGCGCGTTCTCTTCTCTGACGATGCAAGCCATGTCACTGCGCGCGGGGCCGCGACGCCAAAAAGTGTGTGTGTGTGTATGTCTGTGTGCGTGTACATGTGCGTGTGCGTGTGCGTGTGCGTGTGCGTGTGCGTGTGTGTGTGTGTGTGTGTGTGTGTGTGTGTGTGTGTGTGTGTGTGCGTGTTTGTGTGTGTGTGTGTGTTTGTGTGTGTTTGTGTGTGTGTGCGTGCGTGCGTGCGTGTGTGTGTGTGTGTGTGTGCGTGCGTGAGTGTGTGTGTGTGTGACTGTGTGTGTTTGTGTTAGTGTTTGTGTGCGGATGCGTGTGCGTGCGCGCGCGCGTGCGCGTGCGCGTGTGCGTGTGCGTGACCGCGTGTGCGCGTGTGCGCGTGTGCGCGTGTGCATGTGTACGTGTGCGCGTGTGTGCGTGCGTGCGTGCGTGCGTGCGTGCGTGCGTGCGTGCGTGCGTGTGTGTGTGTGCGTGCTTGCGTGCGTGCGTGCGTGCGTGCGTGCGTGCGTCGTGCGTGCGTGAGTGCGTGTGTTTGTGTGTCTGTGTGTATGTGTGTGTGTGCGTGCGGGTGTGTGTGTGTGTGCGTGCGTGCGTGCGTGCGTGCGTGCGTGCGTGCGTGTGTGTGTGTGTGTGTGTGTGTGTGTCCGTGCGCGCGTGCGTGCGTGCGCGTTTTTCTTTTCAGCAAAACGTGCATAAGCCCATCCTGGGCTGAGGATGGGCCTAGCCAGGATGGGTTTAAGTGTATATTTGCATTTGGCGACCTCCGACCCACCGCACTCCCGCCCTAGCGCAGTGTTCCCCCAACCCAATCGACCAGCGCGGCCATGACGGCGACGAGCGCCACCTCCGTGGGGAGGCCGTGAAGGTCGAGGACGCGGTCGCCTGGCGCAGGCCCACGCTGCGCGCGCAGGTCTAGATACCCGCCCACCCCCCTGTTTTCCTCCTCCCCCCCCCACTATCGCCTCCTCCCCACATCCGCACCCCCCATTCTCCCCCTCCACGCATTGCTTATTACAAACAGGAGTGCAAGCTTTGATACGTCCCGTAGTTGTTCGATCGAATGGTTTTCGGTGTCTCACAACGGTGCTGCCGCTGCAGCGTGGGCCACATTTTAGGGTTGCACCTCCTGCTCATCCACCACCTCGGCTTGTTCAGCACAGACAACAACATCCTCCTCCAATATTCGCAGCTTACTGTTTCCGACAACGCATGACACGATGAGGTCATCTTTGGAACTCAGGTCCGCTATGGCACGCGTCGGCGATACATGAAAAAGCAGCGCGATGAGAAGAGATGGGTGGGAGAGAAGGATGTCGGACATGGCGCGAACTTGCATAGCTTGCCCCCCTCCTGTCTCCTGCCCGCCTTCTCCCCTCGGGCTCGGGCGCACGCTAACATGGATTACGTATCCGTGGATCTAGCGCGTGGGCGCCAGATTACATGTTGGGGGAAACTTCCTCCGAGACATGAGGCCACTGCCGCATGACTTGGCGACGGAGCGCGCCAGCTCTGTAGGGAAACGGTACACATCGTTCGTCCTCTCGCCTTGATCCATGTTTGCGCTTCCTCGACCCCCGCTCATCCCCCATCCCCCTGAGAGGATGACAAACATTGGACGTGTTCGATGATTTCTCGGCCACCGTTGAGAACCAGTGAGGCATCCGGACACCTCTGGGGACCTCGAGAAGCCTCTGGAGACCTCCGTCGGCTGGGGGAGCGAGCGGGAATGGGGGCTGCGCAGCGGGAGGCGGAGGGGAGGGTACCGTGGGCTGGCGGGGGAGGGTTTACAAAATGGGAAGGGGGCGGGGACAAGGTACGGAGTGGAGGGGGGCACTGACATGAGAATCGGTGGGCGAAGCGAAGGGAATGCGAAGAGGGAGAAAGAGAGAGAGAGAGAGAGAGAGAAACAGAGAGAGAAGTAGAGAAAGAAAATGAGAGAGAGAGAGGGAATAATAAAGGGAGAGGGAAGCAGCAGATGACGGAGGCAGGGGAGGGGAGAGGCGAGACGAGCAAAAGAGGGAAGAAAACAACTAAGAAGGCCGTGGCAATATAATCCCAACCACGACGTCCAGATCAAGATCGGGATGTCCCCAGGGCGGCGAGGAGCCATGCAGACGGCAGCGTGCCGGTTGGGGCTGGCCATCGCAACTGATACGTTCGACCACAACGGTGGCTCCGCATTCGACTTATGACTACGCATAGTGTGTAGACCCAAAGGGCATACGCTGTGTCCCCATGCCTGGGTAAAGGATGAGGAGGAGCAACAGCACTGGACAATAGGAGAAGCAGACATGTAACAAAAAACAGTCCCTCCAACATGAGCCCGAACCACTTTCAACCCCTCTTCCGGGACGAGATGTACGTCTCAGATCGGTCCCAGAGCCCGAACAAAGCCAACAAGAAAAATCCGTGCATCAAACTGAGACAAAACGGGCCTTCAATGACAAATATATGGCCCGGTCCCTCCTCCCTCAAAAATCTGCCGTGTTGGGACGGATTATGAGCAGAACTCCCAGGCGGATCAAGTCGTGGCAACAAGGACGCCGCCAGAGGTGGAGTTTGTGTGCAGAAGCACATAAACTAGGTCATCCTTGATCCTCGTGACTCATTTGCCAAGATCTCCAGGGTTGCAAAACTACCTGGAGGCAGATGGAGGTCCCCAGAGGCCCGAAGAGGGCGCCAGAAACAAACAATGCACTGGGTCCTCGATTGATCGACCTCAGCCTCCTCCTCCTCCTCCTCCTCCTCCTCCTCCTCCTCCTCCTCCTCTTCCCTCCTTCCCCTCCGCCTCCATCTACTCTAGAAAAGGAACCACTGCAAAAGCACAAACTTTTGGAAGTTCGCGCTCTCCGCATCCGAGGGCTCATCGCGCCAGTGAGGGGAATTCCAGTGCCGATCCAAAGAATCTCAAAGGAGAAACTGAAACCACCGCCACCGAGAACCCACCGGGGGTGTTGGGGGCGACCCCTGGGCGGTGTCACAGCCTAGCGTCACCCAATGCAGGACGACGCTCCGGCGTGCCACCGCCCAGGGGTCGGCCTCCCCCCGATGGGATTGGTGGCGCTGGTCTCTGATCCCCCCCCCTTGAAAATCTGACGGGACCTTACACAGCGTGTGTATCACACGCTGTCTGAATTGTATGAACACGCGCCGTGTGTTTATGCAACTTGTCCTTGTTGAATCCTGCTTGCCAGAGCGGGGGAAAACTGTGCGGGTGTGCGGCAGCAGAGCCCCGGGCGTCTCCTTTCCAGGGGTCGGGCAGGCTCCCCGTCTCCACATCCTGGCGGTACATCCCCATCGCCTCCTGCAGGGTAGGAGGCAAGGAGGGGCAGGGGCAGAGAGGAGGAGGAGCCGGAGGAGGACCAGAGTGACCCCGAGACTCATCAACGATGTTGCAATGAACCCTCACCCGAAGTTCACTCTTTAATTGTAGATCCCAACAAGAATTTACTTCCACTGCTGGAAGTGACCTGGTCAAAGACACGATTCCAGGGATTCCAACGCCGCGAATCAACAGAACTGTTGCGTCCTGACAACCCTTAAACTGCGTCATAACGCCATTCATGGGACTTCAACACCGAGAACCAACGTGACTGCTGCCTCCATCCTTGAAGCTGTTGCGAATTTTAGCTCCAGAAGCAGCATACATGGTGAGGAGCACTGAAGCGAACCTGCCCGCCCTGCCTACATGATTGGGGGAGCAGCGAGTACGGAGAGGAGGAGAAGGATCGAGAATCGAGGATCGATTCTTGGTTGTTGTCCATGTTCGACCTCTGGCAAGATCTTCGTCGCCACGCCTCCCAAGCTCGGTTAAGAACCCCTCGACAGGTCCAGGGGCCGACTTTTGACCTGGAGGGGGATGCGGAGGGGGCGGGTGCGGAGAAGAGGAGGGGAAGGGGGTGGAGAAGAAAGAGGAGGGGGAGAGGAGATGGAGGAGAAGCAGACGGGGATGGGGCAGGGGAGGGGGAGGACGAGAAGAGGAGGGAAGGAAGGGGCATGGGAAGGGGGAGGAAGAGAGAACTGTCGGAGGGGAAGAGAGAACTGTCGAAGCGGAAGAAGAGGATAGAAACACATCGAAACCAACACACACACACACCCACACACACACGCACACCTTCTTCCAGAACCGCGCGGGCTTCGTGGATAGGCGCCGTCTAGTTGGGCCAGCGCCTATCCATGAATTCCGCGCGGACCTAAACAAGTTGATGCGGATCCTTCACTCAATTGTTGTTTCCACGTGGGGGGGATCACCCGCCAGGGGTGGGGCGAGATGCAATGAACGGCTGGTCAAGATCGTGCCGTTTTGCTTCTTCGAGAAACGTGCCAAGGAATCGCGACTGAATCGGCGCGGAGTCGAATAGGAATCGCATCGCTTGTGATCGCAGATCGGGCTCGGGGCTTGGGGCCTGTAGGCCAGAGAGGGACTCGGTTCGTGTCCGATCGGATCGGATCGAGATCGGAATCGAAGCAGGGGATCGGATCGAATCGGATCTAAGGATGCGGCCCCCGCCTGCAGCCGCCCGCCCGCCAGCAGCGCCAGCAGCGCCGCGCTGCTGGTCACGGCCGTGGGCTCCAGGGCGGCGCGCGCCACGAGGCCCAGCAGCGCCAACGCCTCGCCCGCCCGCGGCGGGAATGGTCCGACGAGGAGAAGCTGCCGACGCCGCTGCGCGGCGCCCCCGCCCAACTCTCCGACGACATGCGCTTGCAGTCCCAGCAGTTTTCTTCGCCCTCGGCCGACGGGGCCCCTTGCTGGGCCCGGGGACCATCAAACATTAGGTCGGGCGTGTCCCCCTACAGGGGGATTTCGGGCGAAAAATACTCCAAACATACTCTCCAAATGGGCAACAATAGTTTAACATCTTCCCCATATTACTTTTTATTATTTTTCCATGTTCCTCCTACTCCTCCTGTAGAGGGACAGGCCCGACTTCAATCAAACATGGATCAGGGTCGAACGATTTGCCCCGACGAATGGGTCTAACGTCTGGGGCCGCACGTTGAAAAGAAACCGTCAGATGTACGGGCGCGCGTCGTGAAGCAGGAAGGCGGTGGCACCGATAGCGCTGCCCTTCCCTCGTCGGCACGGCTGGGTTCGCCTCGGAATTCTGCTCTCGGAATTCTGGTCAGCACGCACCGGCGAAGAGGGCCGGGCAGAGGAGGCATCGGTACCTCTGCGTGCCTTCCAAATCCGAGGAGGGCCATCGGGCAGACAAGATCTTGGGGTTGTCGGTTGTTTCCCAGGTTCCTTGAGGTTCTCCTGCCTCGGGATGCTCCCCACCAGCTGCGCCTCGTCCAGAACTTTCCGGGAGCGCCTGGATCGTCCCGAACGGCCGCAGCAGGCCCGGGCTGCGGCCCGGAAGCCGCCCAGCGCGGAGCGCCAGTCGAGACAACGGCGGCCCTCCCCTGCCGTGGTCGTCCCGCGAGGCTCCTCGTGGCCGCGCGGCCGGACCCGCCCCGAGAAGCGGGCCAGGGTGGGCCCCCGGGGAAGGGGTCCAGGGACCGACGTGGAGCGGGCTCGGGCTGGGCGGCGGACTGCGCGTCGGGACGACCCCGGGGGCAACGTGGGAAGGCGCCAGCACGTCCTCTCGCGCGGGTGGCTCACGCGCGAGTGCCTGCACCGTCGGCCTCCTTTCTCTCACGTCGCTCACTTGGCGGCACGCTCGAGGGGGGCGAATGGGGTGGCCTTCTGAGGAGGCATGCCGCTTCTTGGACGGACTCGGACTCCTTGGTCCTTGCCCAACCTCAGAAGCTTTCGTAAAGGCGGGAGGGCTCCTAAGAACCCCCCTGTGCCTGCTCCGACAGTCCCACCCTCGCCCCACCCACCCCCTTGTGCGGGCCGCCGGCTCACACCCAGACCTCCGACGTCACGATCGCCTTCATCCTTGCGCTCTTCATCCATCTCGGCCGCCATTGCAGGGCCTGGGAGCGCCTGGGAGCGCCTGGGAGCGCGTGAGAGCGCTTGAGAGCCCGAGTCGGGGCAGTGACAGACGGTGCGGTGACCTCGGACCCCCCCAAGAACCTCACCGCACGGTCCGTCACTGCCCGACGCTGGGACCTCGGAGGGCCCGGTCGCCCGAGACATCCTGGGACAACGACTCGGGTCCCCCAACACCCGCGCGGCCACCCCGGATCCCACTGGCTCACCAAACAGTGCGGTCACCGCTCGGGGGCCCCCGACACGAGCTGGAGGCCGTCTTCGGGCCCCGCGGGCCATCGCGATGCACCAGCAGTGCAGGACGAACGACAGGCCCCAGGGGAGGGGCGGCGAGAGTCCTAGGGCCCATGGGCTGACGAAAATGACGACGCCAGAGGTCTGGGGTGATGGCCGCCAACAGCTGTCCAGGACAAAAGACAGGCCACAGGGGAGGGGCTTCGAGAGTCCTGGGGCCCATGGACTGACGAAAATGACGACGCCAGAGGTCTGGGGTGATGGCCGCAAGCCCACCCGGAGCCCGGGACCTCGATCTGAGACGAAAGCAAGATGGTGTCGGGCCAGGGGCCCTTTTGTGCAGGGGGGTTTGCGAATCAGCTCACGTATAGCTGGTCTCCCCTGCGCCTCCTGGCGCCGCAGGCGGCGACGTATCGGGGAAGGTGACAGCATGCAGCAGGATTCGTACCCCCGCCCCTGTCCCTATCCCCCCCCGTTTGTCCGACCCGAAAAATTGTGACTCAGGCAGAAAGAAATAAGTGGGACCTCGGACACCCAGCGAGCCCGCAGGTTCGCAAGGTGTACTGGCCGCCGCGGCCGACCCAAAAACGCTCTGTCTGGAACGGTTCACTGCCGCGGATTATGCGCCTGCCCGGCGAATCGAACCCGATCGGTCCGCGATCGCCGAGCTGAGATCTGCCCGAACCAGCCCAAGGTCACACCGAGACTCCCAAGCCTGCCCGAAATCGACCCTCATGAACCTGCCCGTGTGCAGAACCCGAGCCGAGCGCACATCGAACATCCCCGAATGCTGCGCGCTGGGCCCCCCCCCCTACGGGCGCGCTCCGCCTGTCAAGGGCGGCGCTGGAGGCGCCGTAAGAACTGGCCCGAGCGGCACGCCAAAACCGAGCCGAGCGCACAGCGAACAGCAAAGATATCGCAGCTTCCGAGCCAGGCCAAACTGCCATGGAGAAAACTGAATTCTGCAGGAAACGGGTCCTGGGCTACGGGCACCCCCTGGGGCCGGCTCTTCATCCCTTCGTCCCGAGTCTGCAGGGCCCGCGGAGGGCTCTGTGAGCCCGACAACGGCGTAGAGCATCAGGACGCGTTTGCCTCAATACCCGCCCAGCTCCCTCCACGCACCCTGCGAGCGAGAGAGCGAGAGGTGGGGACTGGGTGACGGAGCGGGGAGGCTGGGACCCTGCGGATCACGACGGCTCCATGGCGGGCCGGCGCAGCCGGCCGGCCGACGGCCGGCGCCGGCCCGTGCCGCAGGCCAGGCCCCGCCGCGGGCCGAGGCCGCGATGTGTGGCGGCGGCGCCTGCTCCCAGCGCGCGGCCCTGCCGCACGCGGTCAGCGCCGCGTTGAAGGGCAGCGCGTCGGGGCGGTCGATGAGCCCCAAGAGCGCCAGGGCGTGCTCCCAGCGCGAGGCCGTGCCACAAGCGCCCACGGCCGCGGTGCAGGCGACCGCGTTCGGCCGCGGGCCCGCCGCCGCCATGCTGGCCAGCAGGGCCAGGGCGCGCTCCCAATGGCCCCCCGCCTCGGCGGTCCCGGATCTCCGACGGTATGGCTGCTTGACCCCAGCGTTGTTCCTCGATCTCGACCTCTGGGGCTTGTTTTCGTTGCCCTGAGGCAACCTAAAAATGGAGCCGGGGCGGTGAACTGCCCCTGGGGAAGCGGTCGGGGCTTCTGGGGCCGCGGGTTGAAGCAATCATACGAACCGCCGTATGTCTAGGACGGTGGCTTTCGGGCCATACCTCGTGCCGCCGTCGCCGTTCGGGAAGATCTGGGCAACCCCTGAACGCTCTCGGCGAGGCGCAACTGCCGGAAAAAACCCGATGCCGGAGGGCGTGCTGGGGCCAACGGAAAACGGCCGAAAACGGCCGAAAACGCCCGAAGCCCTGGCCTCCAGGGCCGCCAACGTTGCCCCGTACGCGACGACGTTCGGCGTCTGCTGCGCGAGGCGCATGCCGCCCAGCATGCACAGCGCGAGGTCCCAGCGGCTGCCCTCCGCGCACGCGCTCAGTGCGGTGCCCCGCGCGACCATGTCTGGCAACGACTTGCCACGCTGCATCTCTAGCAACAGGCCCAGGGCCAGTTCCCACCTTCCAACAGGGACCGACCGTGCTGGAATTCCTACCGACATTTCCCTGAATTTTCGCAAAGGGACACAATGTTCTGATGGAGCGTAAAGGGGATGCCTTAACATAACACTGGCACAACCAGAAATGCTACAAGAACATGTCGTGCAGACTGCAGCATGTTGCTAACATATGATTTGAAAGGCCTATGAGCTGATCAGAACGCTTGGCCACTCCTTGACACCTGGCCGCCTCTGTGCACGCCGCCATGGCGGCGCTATACGCCACGACGTCCAACACGACCTCTAAGAAAACCAAACGGTATCGCTACCGCCACCCCCACGACCTCCCAGTGCGCGCTCTGATCAGAATTTCGAGAGAATCCAGACGTGGCGACGACTGCCTCCCGGGAGGCCCAAAAAGTCGAACACGAGGCAAAGGGAAAACGTCCTGACCAGGATTTCGAAGCGAATCCAGCCGTGGCGACGACGGCCTCCAAGGAGGCCTAAAAAAACAGAAACGAGGCAAGGACAGCGACAGCAGCAGTATCGGCCCCTCTCCCTCCCCGGAAACCTCCCGGCGCTGTGCCTCGCGCAGCAGGCCCAGCGCCCCGTCGGCGCGGTCGCCGTCCGGGGGGAGCGCGCCGAGCAGCGCCGCGAGGGTGACCGCGTCCGCCTCGACGCCCGCCATTCGCATCTCCTCCAGCAGGCGGGCGGCTATGCTCCACTGCCCCCCGCGGCGAAGGGCATCGGCGATGGCGTTGTAGGTGATGGTGTCCGCCTCGATGCCTCTTGCGAGGCGGGGCAATGTCCACATGCACCGCCTGCGAGCGACGTTCTGGGATCCAAGCGGGCGCTGGACGTGGACACATGTCGGCCCTAGGGGGCCCGAACTAGAATAAATAGAAATGTCATAAACATAAACTATTGGTGCTGCGCGCGGATTTCTTGGATCCGCGCTGGACCCCACTCCCTAGAGCGCGGAGCGCCAGGGGTGTATGTTCATGCCGTTTTTTGTTCCTCGACGAACGTGATCCGTATCCACCGCCTGCCGATGTCCCCGAAGGTCGATGCCCCAGGCGGTGGTCGCGGACAGATCCCCGCCTCGGACCTCGGGCCCTCGCTAGCGCTGCCAGGCCCAGCGCGTGCTGCCACATCGAGCCTCTGCCCGCGCGAGGGTCTCCTCCTCCCCCTCCCCCTCCCTCCCCCTCCTGCCTCCTCCTCCTCCTCCTCTCCTCCTCCTCCTCTCCTCCTCCTCCTCCTCCCTCCCTCCTCCTCCTCCTCCTCCTCCTCCTCAGCCTCATCCTGATCCACCTCCTCCTCATCCTCCTCTCCCCCCTTTCCAAAAGTCCTGGGGGGTCTGCGCAGATCCGCGGGGGGCCGCGGAGGCTCCCGAAGGTCCAGGCGTTGCTCCAGCAGCGCTTGCACTTCGGGGTTCGCGCTGCTCTGTTGCCACAGTAGCTCGGCCTGGTTGGCGGGGCCGCGCAGGGCGGGCGCCTCGTGGGCGCCCCGTGCGCCTCGTGGGCGCCTCGTGGGCGCCCCGCCACGTGCGCAATCGCGCACCAACCACGCGTGTCAAATAATACAATGCGGGCCTGCCAGCCACACGCGCGCGTCCCCGCGCGCGCGCACGCCGTAATCCAGCTGAAACAAGCAGTTGTCACAGCATTTCAACATAGAGGTGCTCAAGCACATCCAGAGCCCTGTAACTTTTCAACTGCAGATTTCTGGCAGATTTCCAAATCATCCTCGTCAGCACCATCGTTCTCAGCATCGCCAGCGTCATTCTTGCCAATATCCCCATCGTCGTCGTCATCACCACCGTCATCACAATCTTCATCCTCGGCGTCGTTCACCCCGTCATCATCGCCAAGGGCATTACCATCATCGTCGTCGCCGGTGTTGTCGCCACAATCGTCACTCAACCGTCCGAGTCACGGATCTGCATGAGCAAGGTCTGCGCGTACTGCGACGCTTGAGATTCGCGAGCAAGTTCCGATGGGTAAATAGCCGCACTCATGATCTTCGTGAAGTCTGCAAAGATGTTGCGGGTGAGTGTGTGGCAAATGTGCTCGAGCATAGAAGGTGGTCGCGCGCGGGTGACCTCAGTTGTTAAGTGCACACAATCGATAGTACCATAGCTATCAATGTTGCATAAGTTGCACTGCATCTACTGCACCACATGGCTTGCACCACATTAGATATACATCCAGAGCGCAGTAATGCGCCGTCTGGGGTCCACGCTGGCAGACACTGCGCAGAACGTCCAGAATCTCGAGCCTCGATACCACAATCTCAGTCCTCCACTCGGCGGCGCGCCGTGGGAGTGAGTGCGAGGGGGCAAGCGTTCGCAGAAAGCGGCGAGGCTTCTCCGAAGTCCTCTGGCCTCCTGACGAGCCGTCTCTGACACGCCCCCTGTGCCTTCCCAACGGTCGGGCATGCCCTCTTACATGCGGATTTTGGAGGAACAACTGGAAAATAGTTGAACAATTTTCCAAAAGAGTCGAACATAGTAAAAATATCGTCCCCATACTATTTGTTTTGTCTACTCTTGCATGTTCCTCCTGAAGAAGGACATGCCCGACTTCAGCCTCCCCCACTGGACACGTCGCTGATGCACGTGTGTCCAGAACCCTCGAGCCTCGATCGGAAAGCTGGGACGAACAGAAAGGCACCGATACCGCTACTCCCCAGACCTCTCTTTCTGGCCCCCCAGCAGGCCCAACAGGGCGAAAACGAAGCACGGGTAGCGGTATCGGTACGGTTGAAAGAAAAACTGTGCAACAACAACGATCGAACTAGGAAGAGCCAAATTTCCCTCTCCACCCCCCAGCCTTCACATTGGCAGGTATGTTGCATTCGCGACGTTGGGTTCAAACGTTTTCTGGCCCCGCTTCTCTGGGAACGTTTGTTCCACATTCAGGCCATGGGCGGATGGGGGTCCTGCGGAGTGGTTCGCCGACTAACGCTTGTTGCAATGTGTCCTTTAGAAATACCGGTCCTCCTCTGAAGAATCTCGACCCTCTATCATCCGGAGCCTTTGCCACAGGCGCTCACCGCGGCGTTGAACGTCACGAGGTCGGCGCTCACCTCCTGCGCGGCCATCGCGGACAGCAGCTCCAGCGCCTGCTGCCACTGCTGCCCCTTCTCGCACGCGCTGATGGCCGCATTGTAGACGACGTGGGCGAACTCGTGGATGACCACCCCAAAATCTCCGACAATACGTAATTTCCATCTGGGCGTATTTCCTAGGCGTCGGTCTCTGGGGCCTGTCTTCGGGCCCTGGGTCCATCACCAAGAAGTCCCAGGCCGAAACATATGCCCCGAGAAAGTGGTCGGGGCCTCTCGGGCCGCGGATTGAACAACTCACATCCGAAGATGTCTGGAACCACGCTCGCCTTCAGATCCAGGTGCTCCGTGCCCGCGAGCGCCCAACGAGGCGGGGATGGTCAGACACGAGCGCACTCTCGGGCCCAGGCGATGCCAGCTCTTCGCGTCGAGATTTTGTTGGGGGGAGGGCCAGGATCCAGACTCCCGGTGTCGCGACTCGTTCAGAAGTTCGCCCCATGAGCTCTAGACCATGTCCAGAAGTGGACCTGGAGCCCACACACGGGCCCAGGATGCCGAAAAATGTACCCACCTTGGTTTTTTCAAGGCGCTCGAGGTCTTTACCCCTTCCCTCTCAAAATCGACCCTGGGGCCTGCGCAAGCGTGCTTTCTAATCGGGACTTCGAACGAAATCCAGCCGTGACTAAGGAAGACTGGACAGTGGACGGGGGTGAGCATTCAGCATTCAGCATGTGGCGAGTCTCGCATATGGGGGACAGATCCCAAAAGAGGGAGAGACAACGTCGACGAGACGACGACAGGACGACGGACGGTAAAACAAGCAGCGACGCCCATGCATTCGCAAGCGTCGGAACGGGAACTGTAGTAAAAACAGAGCAGGGGCTACTGAAAAATACAAGCGCAGGGTTAATGAATCCAGATGCCGCCCTCACCTCTCCTGCCTCCTCGATCACATACACTCCCTCCTTATCCAAGAGGATGAGGACAAGGGCGATCATGAAGAAAAGAAGGAATGGGGGGGGGGCAGGGAGGAGAGAGAGAACGGGGTGGTAGTCTCGGACTCTTCTCAGCCATGTCCCTCCTCATCCCGCGCTTCCTTTCCCCGCTCCTGGCCCGACACCCCTCACCAAGAAATGCAGATACCACTGCTCCCCGGACCTCTCCCAGTGTCACTCTGACAAGAATGTCTAGAAAAAGCCAGTCGTGGCGACGAGGGTCTCCCAGAAGGGCCAAAAAGGCCAAAACGAGGGAAGGCTACTGGTATCGGTACCACTTCCACCTGTGATATCTTCTCATCCCCGGTGCTACCGGAGGCCTGGCGGTGGGTGGTTCGATTCGCGCTGAAGCCTCTCTTCGAGCGCACGCGATTAGCATCGATTGACCGATCCCCATCCATTCTGGCGTGGCCCATGGCCCCACAAGCCGATGCATCCCCATAGATGAGGATAATGCAGTGAATCCTGAATGGATGAGCGTTGCGAGTGCTCGAATGCACACACTGTGATAAATTCTTCCACTTGGGTCAGAGTCATACTGTGCGGGGTTGCGTATGACGACTCACACAGCAGTGCCAGCACGTCAATAGGCGAGTTCCCAGGGATCGCGGCATTGTTCAGTACGCACAACCAATGCCCGCCGCCACATGGACAACGAATCAGGCATGCTCCCGTATGGTAGGCTCCTTCGGCTGTTTCGCGGTCAGAAAACACGTCCCCCAGTCGGGCTTCAACGTCGGCTGGCGCCATGGGGATCGCCAAGGCGCCCGCCGCCATGAAATTGGCCACGAGGACGGCTACATCGTAATTTCCGCTGGTGTGTTCTCTCAAGTGTTCACGCACGTCTCCGAGATTGCAGGCCATGGCAATATTCTCAAAATGGTGGCGTTCGTGCCATGAGAGTTGAACCATGCGAAATCGGCGGAACTGGGCACCGAAGTTCGTAGGAGACCGCATGATCTGTTGGGCGGGCGGAGGGCTCGGACTGTCAGTTCGAGTTCCCCCTCTTGGGCCTCTCTTGGGGCACTCGTCGTGCGCTCTTGGGTCGCCTTGGGCACCTCCTGGGCTGTCTTGGGGCTTCTGGAGCTGCCTGGGTTCGAGCGATCTTAGGGGGTGTCTGGGGCGCCGTTGAGACCAACACCTATATATATATATATATATATATATATATATACTAGAACCATCGCGCGCGCTTCGCGCGCGCTCAGGTTCTAGCCCAGGCCGGGGGGGCGCTGGACGATCTTGGACAACGCTATCAAGCACAGGCGCGCGACGGCATCTGAGGAGCTTCTGGGGTGTTCCGCATGCTTCGTCAACTGGCTGTTGGAGGCACCTCTTGGGTGCCTCTTGGGGGGGCGTCTGAGGTCCCTTGGGGGCATCGGTTCTGCAATCTGAAGCCGTCATTGGCCGTCTTGGCTGCGTGGAGGCCCGACTTGAGGCCACCTGCGGCCAGATTGAGGCAATCCGGAAGCCTCCCGGGGGCCTCCTGGAAGCAGTTTTGACGCATCGAGGGCACTCTTGGGCTATTTTAAAACCTCTTGGACGTCTCCTAGGGGCCTTTTGGGCCCTCGGGAAGCTTTTGGGGTCCTCTTGCCTCTTGCGGCCTCCTGTGGGCCTTTTGGGGGGAACGCTCTGCTGTTGGGTCGCGTTCCCCTTCTTGGGCCTCTCTTGGGGCTCTTGGGGCCCTCTCGGGCCGTCTTGGGCGCCTCAAGCACCGTCTTGGGGCCCTCGCAGGCCGTCTTGGGGCCCTCTCGGAGGCCTCTTCCTCTATAATCCCACCAGCCCTTTAGGGCGTAGGTGGTCTAGGGAGTTTCCTCTGCCAACCCCCTTCTTCCCCTTCGGGGAGGGGTTTACCCCTCCCCTTACCCCTCCCCACTGACCTGGACGGGGCCGGTCGCGAGGTGTCAGAGCGTCCAAGATGGCCCAAGACAGCTCCAAGAGCGAACAGGCGAGAAAACACAAAACATTGATTTTACCTAGGTTTTGGAAGGATTTTGGCATCTTGGGGGGGCCCAAGAGGCGACTCGAGGCACTCTGGAGGGGCGGGGCTAATAAGCAACCCCCCCTTCTTTGATAGATCTCCTCCAAGATGGCCCAAAGAGCGCCCCGAAGGCTCCCAAGAGCGCCCCAAGAGCGTCTCAAGAGGGCCCCAAGAGACCCCAAGAGGCCCCCAAGAAGCCTCCAAGACGTTGCCAAGAGACCCCCAAGAGGATCCAGAGAGTCCAAGATGACCCAAGACGGCTCCAAGAGCGAAAAGGCGAGAAAGCAACAAACATTGATTTTACCTAGGTTTTGGAAGGATTTGGGCCTCTTGGGGCGCCCAAGAGGCGACTCGAGGCACTCTAGAGGGGCAGCGCTAATTGGGGACCCCCCCTTCTTTGATAGATCTCCTCCAAGATGGCCCTCTTGGAGGCCTCTTGGGGCCCTCTTGGGGGGCCTCTTGGAGGCCTCTTGGAGCGTCTTGGGGGCCTCTTTGGCCGTCTTGGGCTTATCTTGAGCATCTTGGGGCCCTCTTGGCGCCCTCTTGGGCGTCTTGGAGCCTGCTGGGCCTGTCGTGGAGCGCTCTTGGGGCACTCTTAGGCCGCCTGGGCTGCTCCAGGGAGGCTCCAGGCCCCCCCCCGTCCCGCCATGGGGGGTCGAGGCACCTCTCCTGGGGCCCCCAGCCTCGCCTCCAGGGATATATATATATATATATATATATATATATATATATATTTATGTATGTATATATATATACACATATATATATGACATATTAAATATAAATGCTAGACATAATTGATTCCCTTCAGGAGTTTGACGATTCTCCCCTCTCGGGGGCCTCTTGGGAGTCCTCTGGGAGTGGTTTCGGAATCTCTCGGGGGTCTCTTGGGCCTCTTGTGGCCATGTTATGCTGTCCGCCATGCATCTGGGCGAGCTCCAGCGGCCCCCTGGGCGTGTTCTGCGGCTGTCGAGCAGGGCCCTCGAAGGTCCTCTGGGCGTCTTCTGCGGCTGCCCTAAACGCCCCACATATCAGATACAAAGAGGCTTACATGACCACTGCGAGTCTCGGCCACGAACAGATATCCACGACCTAGATCTGAGGAGCGATCAGAAAGCTAGAGCCCATCCCACACCCCAAAGTGATCCTTGTTTCAGCGTCTTGGCTGTATGCTGCTTCCTTCGGGTTCCGCGGAACCCGATCCCCACCTTGGGGGGTCGGCTGGTGGGTGGGGCTCAGATTTCATGGCCCAGTGGGGATGGGGATACGCTAGGTGAACGTTTTCTGATTCGGCGTTTCGACATTGGAAGGAAAGGGAGGGTGGCGGGGGGTCTGGCTCTGGACCCCTGCTTGATGCCTGATGCGACTGTTTGCAACAGTGCGTCCTGCGGGGGAGACCCACCTGCTCGAAACAGGCGCCAAACACAGCCACGATCTTCTCCATGGGGTGGGGGGGCGAGGGGGGGCGCGAGGGCCCGCGCCGATCGGCAAAACAATGACTCAGAAAACGATCACCCGACGATAGCGACGCTGGGCGGCATCGCAAGCCCGCATGGTGTCGAGACGGAGGCCTCCGCCCCGGGCCCCCGCCAGCAGCGCCAGGGCGTGCAGCCAGCGCCCGCTCTTCTCACAGGCCGTGACGGCTCGGGCGGACGTCGTGGAAGCCGCCGGCTCTGCTCGGCGGCGCGCCGAGGGGGCAAACTCCCGGGTCCCCGGGCGCCGTCGTCGGTTCTCGGCGGTGCGCTCCGGCCTCGGGGCGCTCTTCCCGGAGCTGCGCCTGGCCGAGATCGCCCCGAGCGGCCGTCGGCCGTCGGAGACCCGAGGCAGTGGTCCGGCAACCAGACTCGGCGGCGCGCCGAGGTGGGAAGTTGGAGAGAGGGCAGGCGATCTCCGGAGGCGGCGGGGCTTCCCGAAAGCCCTCGGGCCTTCTGAGAAGCCGCCTGTTTCTTCGGAGAGGGCGCAGAGAGCTGGTCATGAGGCAGGAAGCCTTCTGAGCCTTCGCAGGAGGCCCGCCCCCTCTCTGCCTCCCCTCCCTGGGCGCACCGCCGATACGTATACGC